GGCTGTGAGCGCACGTTGCTGGCTCATGTCCCCTTCGTCACCCACCAGTGTCCCCAAGTCCTTCTCCACTCTCAATACCATATTGATATAAATCTTATTTATCACCTACCTTGCTCTTTTGTGGGTTCCTTCTGCTCCATGGATACCAGGGCAGAAAAATGGGCTTGGTCATAAGCCAGTACCAACGGAGAACGATGGCATTTGTTGGCTGGGACTTCCAGAGGAAGATAGATCCCTCCAAAAGGAATCGGGGCAAAGGCTGGAAAAAAAATCAGGGCGGTTAGTTTTCATAATAGGTTGAAGAGTTAAGAGTTGTTTATACTGAAACTGCTCCAGAACAAGCTGTGTGCTTCATTCAAGGTTTCACCTGCAATTATCTCTCAGCTTGAGGGACCTAAAATAGACCTTTTACATCACGAGGAAGACAGTTGCAAAATTAACCTGTATTTTCTACAAAAAAACCTCTTCACTCCTCCACAAGACGACTTAAAACTTGCAGACAGAATGATGGTAATTGATTAATCATTTCTGACAGGAAATTAAGTCTGCTAGTGGAAAATACGACATGCAGGGAACGGAATTTCCCATCTCTACATGCACGTGTAGGGGGAAAAGAAGTAGAAAAAAACCCCCCCACAACAACAAATCATCACATGGATGCTCTTAGAAATAGGAACAGCTCAGACTGCGACGCTGAACTGTGTCTCATGCCTCTGTGGGCATCACCCACAGCACCCTGCCACAGCTTAACACACCCTGTGCTCTGCTCTCCAATTCAACATTCAGCTTCCTTGAGCAAAAAGACGCCGTGAAAGTCATAGAATCATAGACTCACAGACTGGTTTGGATTGGAAGGGACCTTAAAGCTCATCCAGTTCCAACCCCCCTGCCAGCAGCAGGGACACCTTCCACTAGACCAGGTTGCTCAAAGCCTCATCCAGCCTGGCCGAGAACACTTCCAGGAAGGGGGCATCCACAACTTCCTTGGGCAACCTGTTCCAGTGTCTGACCACCCTCACAGTGAAGAACTTCTTCCTAATATCTCATCTAAACCTCCCCTCTTTCAGCTTAAACCCATTTCCCCTTGTTTTGTCATTAGTTGCCCTTAGTAAAAGACCTTCCCCAGCTTTCTTGTAGGGCCCCTTCAGGTATTGGAAGGCCGCTATAAGATCTCCCCGGAGCCTTATGTGGTAGAGAGGAAAAACACAGCTTGAGCATGAAAAATCCATAAAGATTCTGAAAAGAGAGTGTGATTCTTACCTTCTCCTCCCGAATCCCTCAGCATCGTGTCTGCCACCACCACTATGGGTCTCTTCAACACATGGGCAAGGACAAAAACGTGAAACTCCTCCAGGCTCTCGTACACGGGCTCTTCAGAGCTTTCAACGCTTGAGGAAATGAGAAAGAAATTAATTTTTCACCCTGGTGTATTTAATTACTGCTTCTCTAAACAGCGTGAGGTCTTTACAGGCAGCCACGTAGAGGTGGATCATAGGAACAGCATTAAGTTTGATCTTGGCTCTGATTTGAGATTTTTTTTAGATGTAGATCCAAAAAAACGTCCTGTTCTAAGGCAAGGGTTGTACCCAGGAAATGCCACGTTGCTGCTTGGCACTTCTGGGAGCCTCTTATCTAAAAAAGTCTCCAAAGTGGAGTTTGTTTGGGATGGCTGTGGCCATAAAGTGCCCTTGAAATCCAGAGTGAGCGCTGCAGAAATCCTCAACTTTTGTTTATTACCCTCATTTCGGAGCCATCGATGCGATGAAACATGAGAAAAGATGAGTTTTCTGTTCAATGTGTGTGTTACCCCACAAAAAGGGGTCAGGCAGCATTAAAACCATCTCCCCATGATGCTTTATGGACCCCTTGTTTTCTTGTGATCCTTCATCCTCCCCCTTAAAACTCAACCAGACAGACCAAAGCAGCAATTCCCAGCCTTGTCCCTTGACCTGCCCTTGAGAATTATCCCATGCTGTGTATAAAAGGAAGTTATTTGCTGTATTTTACATCTCTCTATATTTTACATTTTATTTTTTTGTATTTTATTGTATTTTACACCTCTATATATTATTTTTTCACTCAGTCCCCTCCACGTACCCTCCGCAGCCGCCCCCGTTGCTGCCGTAGTGCACGCGAGGCTCGCTGGACGCCAGCTTGATCAGCTCGTTCCACTCTTTCTGCCACTCCTCTTCGGTATAAACGAGACCAGACTGGAAAAACAGCAAATCAAAATCAAAATCTTCAAAGTAAATCTTTTCCAATCTCTCCAGCCTAGTTTGATATACGCAGTTACAATTTTTCTCTATGCATTTATGCAAAATAATCAATATATTATGCAAAAAGGTGCATGTTTCCACAAGTGTTCTCAGGCCAGGTGAGGAGATAATCAGCCTAAAACAAAAATGTGCCTTTTTGCAGGGTGGAAGGAAACATTTCAACCCATAGAATGAGAAGAAACCTTTATTCTTACACTATATCCTTCCAGTATTAACGATGATATAATCTATTGACAAGAGACAGTGGGACAGTTAGTCAGACTAGCAAAAATACAGATTACAGGTTGCCCAAGGAAGTTGTGGCTGCTCCTCCCTGGAAGTGTTGAAGGCCAGGTTGGATGAGGCTTTGAGCAACCTGGTCTAGTGGAAGGTGTCCCTGCTGATGGCAGGGGGATTGGAATTAGATGATCTTTAAGGTCCCTTCCAATCCAAACCATTCTATGATTCTATGATTAAATTTTCCTTCCAAAAATGACAAAAGACACCACAGCATCCATAAAAATTCAATTTGAGGGTTGCTTTGGTGTTTCAACACACAGCAAACCTACGTTTTCCTCACATTTCCTTCCATGATGATTGCACAAGCTCCTTTCTGCAATTGCACCACGTGCAACCTGAGGTATCACCAGCTGAGGAGGCCCAAGGGAAACCACGCAGAGCTGAGCTTCAAAAAGCCGCGCTGCTCTGGAGCCACCCACCATCCCTTAACAGAGCATGTTGCCTTCAGCACAACTGTTCTACTTCATAAAGTCTGCATTGAGTGCTAGATTCAGGAATTACATCTTCCCCCCCCAACACAGAAGCTTTTCAAATAGCTTCCAAGACAATCCCAGAGTTGGAAGGTACCAGAAGTCGAATCTATCCCAAGGAGAGGGAGAAATACCTTAAAAAAACCCACAAGATCGCACGATCTAAGCTCAAGCTCGCTGTATTTAAGGTCATAAGCTGAGAAATGCCAACAGGAAGGGCAGGCAGCCTCACCCTCCTCCTCCTCCTTTCCCCAGGCTCCATAATCAGAGCTCCAGCATCCAAACACAACATCCTCCATCCTCAAAGCTGCCAAAAAAACCTTCAAGCCGTGCACCAGAAGTAACACACGGCACGTTCAGCTCTCCACTTGTTCAGGATGGTATTAACCAGGAGCAGAGAAACTTCATTATGTTGTCAACACAAATTCTTTCATCACTGATCTAAAGCTTGTGAAGGAAAGCATGGGAGGAGAACTCTCCTGCTCTGAACTCTTGACAACTCCCTGAAAGGAGGGTGGAGAGAGGTGGGGGTGGGTCTGTTCAACCAAGGAACAAGGGACAGGACAAGAGGAAATGGGCTCCAGTTGTGGCCAGGGCAGTTGAGATGGGATGTGAGGAAGAATTTCTTTGCTGAAAGGGTTCTGAGGCATTGGAAGGGGTTGCCCAGGGCAGTGGTGGAGTCCCCATCCCTGGAGGGATTGAAGAGTCGTGTAGACACAGTGCTGAGGGACATGGGTTAGTCATAGGGGACTGGTCAGTGTTGGGTTCATGATTGGACTCGATGAGCTTCAAGGGCTTTTCCAATCCAGGCCATTCTGGGATGCTGTGAGGAGACTATTGCACCCAGAGCGGGTTGTGAAATTCAGAGCAGCATCCATCACCCTGGGCTGCTTCTTTCAGAGCTTGTTTGGGAAGGAGAAGCTCCTAATCCCTGACTTCCAACCAACTGCTTGAGCAGTACCTGCAATTCCCAGACCACTGCACCACCTACGTCCCATATCTACTGCCGAGATCCTTCAGCTTGTGCCCAGGACCATGACCAGGGCATGACACCACCACATCCTACACCCCCAGTATTTTCAAGTCCTTTTAAGTTCTGCAAGTCATGGTACTTTGCTGATGGCTAATTCTGGAGCATGCTGTTTCAGGAGATGCATAAAAACATGCTTTTAATAGCAGTAAAATCTCTGATTATTTATTAACTACTCTGCTTCAAACAGGGAAATAGGTATTTTTTCAAACTGTCAAGATAGGGATCTTTGTGCCCTTCCAAAAATAAAAAGGAAGCTGGAGAATAAACAACATCTTTCAGCGTCAGGTGGAAACAAAAGTTTACCCTGTTCACAAAAACATCTTGACACCGAGGGGCCGTCTCTCGCCACGTGAGGACAGCTGGGATCGTTCCACCTTGACAAAGTCACCTTCCTGCTTTCGGGGAGCGGGGGGGGAGGCTGTGTCACAGCTTTGAAAAAGCTTTTTCATGTGGCAAGTTCATGAATTTCCTTTTTTGGTGGAGGAGTTTGCTCTGTGCTTTGACCGAGGCGCATCTCACTGATCTTTATCGCTGGAGAGACCTACGCACAGCGCTGCTTTGCCCGGCACGGTCATCACATCCTGCTGGATCTTAAATGCCTGAAGGTGACGTTTGTTTTCCCATTAATACTGGGCATAACATGGTTCTAAAACAATTTTCCTACCTTGTAATAAAGAGAATTTTCTCATAATTTAGATTGAAGGCTACGTCTCATCGTGACACAACCTGGCAAGCCAAGGAGTTGCTCAAAATTCACGACAGATTTTATCACGATAGGAAGCACCTCCCAGAGCCACGGGATATTTTATTGAGGGTCTCCCCTCTGTAGAGAGGACGTTTGGTTTGGTTCCTACCTCCTTGTTCTGCTGCGTTTGCTGCCAACGCCACCTCCGCTTCAGGGCTTCCCTTTCCACACCTTTATCCATCAAGGTGTAAAGAGATTTGCGAAGCATGAGATCCCTGTCGTGGAAACCCCACATACCTGCACGGGAGGGGGAAAAAAAACAGCAGCAGAGGGTTAGCAGTGGCTGACATCACTCTGTGGAGGTCCTGCAACCCGCCATGAACCAGGGGAAGTGGGTAAATTGGGAAACAGAGGGAGGGAAATGCAAGTTTCTCAATAAAAGTGAAATGTAAAAAAAGAAATTGAAAAAAATTGAAAGCTAAACAGTAAAATTCTTCATTCCAAGCCTGCGTTTTCCACCTGCAGCAAAATGGAGATGCTGCCACTTCCATTTTCAACTCAAAGGCATCCCACAGATGCAGCAAAATATTTGTTCATAACATCACGTGGCTCCTTTACAGCAATATCTGACGGGAAAATGGGTTAAACGAGACCGTGGTTTCGCTGTGTATGAAATATAAATACAAAGGAAGAAAAAACCCTGCTGATTTCCAAGTCTGAAAAACCTCAGAAAATTTACTACGGTCACACTTGATAAGTTGAAGTTAAATCTGAGCTCTTGAAACTTCAACGTGCAAGAGGAGGGAAGGGCTGGCTCTGTTATTTCCCTCAGAAATCAGGGAAATTAGGCAAAGGGAAGGGGAGAGGTGTTTCAGAAGTACATCAGTTATTAGCAGCTTCTTTCCTTCAACCCATTCATCTCCTGCAGAGCCTGGGCATGGTGACCACTCGCACACCTACTGCCGCGGCGGTCGGGATGAGCAGCAGCATCCCGCTATCCCATGGGAATGGGTGGGAAACACTCAGTCCTGCTCCCAGAGGATGGTCCTGAGCTCTCCTCCCAGCACGGACTGAGGAGGGCTGAGCTGGAGATGGGATGTGACATCAGCACAAGGGACGTTACCAGGTCTGAAGTGAATCAGTTTGTTATTTTCCCTGCTGGGAATTAAATCAAGCTCTTACCCAGGGAGGCGGCGTGGAGCAGGCAGTTCCCATCACCGGTGGTGGCCAGGGGAAGGAGCCTTTGGCAACTGGGATCCACGTTTGCCCACCAGTTCAGACGACCTAAGGGAATATTTGAGAGCGTGAAAACAGGGCCCATGAAACATCACAAGGACCAGGGTGTGTCTGTGTGTGTGTGTGTTCATCCCATCAAAAAACACCGACGAGGATGGGAGCCTGCTTAATTTACAGAGGGAAAACCCAAAGAGATGAGCAGTTGTAGACTCAGCCCATGGCTGGAGGAAGGAAGGAATCAAGACAATAATACAGCAACAAAAAAAGGGGAGACTGGAGTTACAAAACTTCATGGAGATGCAGGGAAATGGGCCAGGCTGAGCTTAAGGTCACAAAAATTAGAATTAAAGCTGGAAACAGGAGGACTTTAACCCAAGACCAGCGTTCTTCTCTTACCCATTTCTCCCCCCATCCTACTTATTTCAAAACCCCAAAAACAATCAGGCTGAAAACATCTCCTTAAGCACCTGTCACAAATGGTGCCCGACAAATTTTCCAGTTAAAAACTGCTTGTAAGGCAATCACTCCTATTTAAAGCATCTCACGTTGGTCATTTTTCCCCTTCTCACCAGTTTACAGACAATACTGGAGAAGTTTTGCTGATCCCAGCAGCTTTACTGATGAAAACACAAACTGACAGCGCTCGATGCTATTTAAAAACAGCAGCTTTTTGGTAATATAAGGCACTCGTAGTAACTCAAGTCAAGAGCAGCTAAAAATAGAAGCTAGGAAAAAATTAACATAGACGTTGTAGTCAAGTGGAGGTTAAACATTTATCAAGGAAACGACGTTGGGCTGAATTAGGACTTTGAACTTCCAACCCAGCCTGCATCTCGCTCTGCTCTGCCCATAAAACCAGGCGCTGACTTCTTTGGCTGCGACTTTTTCCGGTAGCTTTTTCTGCAGCGGATCTCATGCAACAGGCAGGTTTTTTTTGGCTGGTAAAAACTATTCAAGCTTCCAACAAATTACATTGAAATTGCTTTTTACAGAAAACCAGCCCTTTCCCAGCATTTCTAAGGAACCTTTCCCTGCTCCCCAGCACGCTCCTTGCTCTCAAACACTTAATTTTCTTCTAATTGTTTGCACAACCCCAGTGACAGCAGCTGTAGAAGAGCTAAATCCAAAAAAACTTGGTTTTAAACACCGATAAACACCGGAAAAGAGAAAAATGCAGAGTTAACTGCGATGCCAAGCGGGTAATTTCTTTTCTCAGCGTTGGGAAAGGAACCCGTTAGAGTTGAAAAGTGTTTAGCACATAGCCTGGGGACAATAGCTCCGCTCGGAAAAGTCGGCTCTTTTCCCTCAATATAGCTCCTGGCACGACGAAGTGGCAAGTCTGTGCCAAGTGGCACAGGGCCAGTGCAGGGAACGGGGCAGCAAAACAGCGTCTCACAAAAGCTCACCAAAATGTAACGCTACTGTAGGCAGCGCCGAGCTGCTGGGTTTCCTTATTTAAAAAAAAACCAAACCATTTCAAGTCACTCCTGGAGAATTTGTTGCTTTTTTTTCAATGGTTGGAAGTATTTGCATCTCTGCTTGGTGTTTTGGAGGTTGTGCAACCTCTCGTCGAGCCGAGTCAGGTCTGATGGGGAGGGGACACACCTCGGGGAGGCATGTCTATTTGCAGCGTGTGGTCACGCCGTGCGGCGCACGTCCCCGGAGAGGCAGGCAGAGTCATTTGTACAGATTTCTAGTTACGCAAGAAAAGTCATCTCAAAAGAAATCACATTCCCCAAATCCTTCTCTGAATGTTTTTGCTCGTATCGAGGTGGTGGAAAGGCCAAGAGGCCTCCAGGAAGTATTTAAAATAACATATTTCTGGGTTATTAGGAGCAAGCTCTGAAAGTTCTACGAGAAAGATGATTGGATTCGAGAGCACAAGGGATCTTCCCGCAACCATCGCTCGAGTGGCGAGGTCAGCGACAGCTCTTCTACATATTTAAGTCCACCAGCAAGAAGCAGCTTCTTCTCCAACCAGCACCATGACTCTTACAGGGTCCAGTTTTGCCCCGTAGCTGGTTTTGCTGCAGAACATCATCCATTTGTCCCAGCAGAGCTCAGGAACCTGCGCACAAAGGCGTATGTTTGGTAAAATACTGTCTTTTTTTTTCTAACAGGAACCATCTAAATAGGTCACGGCGATAGGAAGGAACAAAGACAGTGTGTGTGCTCCTCCCAGCCCAACTGACTCATTGAAAAGCTAAATGGCTTCCCTAAGGCTACCAGGGAACCCAGCACCGTAACTGCAAGGTCATCGTCCCTGCGTGAGGAAGGTAGTGTTCCAAGGGGTGACCTGGCCTCCTGCTCCCTGGGCTGATGTGAGGGATCCAACATAAACACCCACCATGACCTCC